AGCTGCGAGTGCGTGTTTTTTCTCTATCGCAATCGTCTGATTATTCAGTTAGCATGTGTACCTGACAATCCCCCAACCCTTGTAATCTGAAACGTTTACCGGCTAACTGATTAGAATTGAAATGAAGTGAGCTCTCAACACCTCACGTCATCCCAAGTCGATTCTGTTTATACTGATGTTTTATTACCTTTATTTTTGTTTTTTGCATACATCTACTTTGGTATTTCACAATGTGCTTGCGAATATAAAACTTTCCACCAGACATAGCCAAACATAAATACAGCGACGAAGGCACGTGTAGAAATATATATATTTTTCGGGGGTCTGGCTAGACGTTTGAACTGGTTTAATGAGGGAGCCCGACTTTATAAAGTGTGCCATGTTATCTACATAGCGTAGACCCACAAAAATAATCAGGCTACTGGTGATAAGGAGTGGAAACTGCCAATATAGCAACAAATACAATTAGATGAATCAACAGATAAGAAAGTTTTCGATGTTATTTAAAAAAGTTGATACGCGGTTTTTGAAAAAATTAATTGAGTTTGAAATAAATTCGTAAAAATATTTTTAGTACAATATTTTGGTGTTTTCTGCGATTAACAACTTACAAATGAAGATGAAAACTAGACTTAGTTAAGATTATCTGAAGAAAATGAATTTAATTGATATTATGACTTTTTTTTTGTTATTTTTGTTGTTTTCTTTTTTTAATTTTCTATCTAAGCATTACAAATAAATATAAAAAAAAATCAAATTTACTCCAGCTTATTGAGCTCAATACCGACTGTTCCAATTTCATGGGATCCCTTGGCACATCTGGATAAAAAAAAATATTTGGCTCGCTTGCTAACCGCAAATGTCTCTCAATTAAATGTAACGAATGCTGGTTCTAATTGTGATACTAAAAATAACAAATAAAGATTGCAAATTCGTAGAATTTATGCAAATTTCCCTAGAGGCAGAAAAAAACTTAAAACGGAGAGTAGAATAGAAGAAAGAAGACGAATTCGCGGCAAACAAATTTGTTTTTCTGCGAGCGCCACTGACGTAACAAGGAAATGGGAATGGCAAACAACAAAAATCAGAACCAGAAATAACAACAAAGGCGTGCGGCAATAACAAATATAGCCGGCGAACTTGTTGTTTTTTTTTCTTTCATTATATGTGCATACATATATTTTTTAGTCGCCGGTCTTTCGATTTACTTAGGCAGCGTAATCCCCTACAATCCCCTACAGCTGCCGATAAACATTTGGTGTACGTGATCTGAATGTCGTGAGGCTTGCGTTTCGTTGATTTGCCAATTTTTTTGTTAAGCCCAAATGGGGAACCTAAACTGGAAAACCTTAAAACTTGATTTTCGCATATGTATGCATGTAGGGCATTTGAGGAGGGGCGATGAGCGATAACAGCTGCAGTTGCGCCAGCCTCAAGGTCAATTTAAAAACACGTTTAATGCTTTCTTTTTTGTTGATTTGGTTCTTCCAATTACGTTAGCGATAACAATTTATTTTTAATTGATTTCACTTTTTTTTATTTGGACTTACCCCAGTGTAGAGGACTTCGGGCGTGGTCTGGGGCTGTGGGAGGGCGGAATAGTTCGCCACAGCTGCGGCAAAGTTCTTGGTCTGGGCTCGCAGCAGAGCGCCGGTCTTCAAAACGCGCAGCATTTTGATCAGTTCTTACTTTTCCGGATAAAAAGAGGGGCGAATATGTAGAACGCAAAACTAGAACTGCGTGTTAATTGCTCAGCGGTCGTCGAGCAACTGAGGCGATGTCGTAGCATTGCCGCTCGCGAAAGCTACGGAGGAACTTTTCAAGGGGCTCGAGGGGAACTCTACTCCACGCCACCAGTGATGTCAGATGTAGGTCATAAAAAACCTAATGTATTTAGCTAGAATAAGTTCATCTTAACTATTCACAGAGGAATAAAATAATAGCCAAGAAAACTAAGCAAAGTAATATTCTTAACATACAAAAAATAAAATGTGTATATAGACAATAGAGGAAAAACAACTAATAGAGCGTAGCTGATAAACTATCTTACAACGAAAATTAAAATAAAGTCACCATTTGGATTAATACTTTTAAAAATCATTATTTAGTAAATATAGTTCAATATGTAAAAATAATTCGCAAAGTTTTTCAGAGTAGTTTGGAAATCCAAAATCATAAAATCATGAATATAGTAAATTGTAATTCAGAAATAATATTGAAAGAAATGATTATATAAAGGAACGAATTATAGTATCAAATCGAACTGTTTAAAATCTTAGTTGCCAACACTAATAGTCGCTGATAAAGTCCGAGCGAGATGGAATAAAAGATAGCTACTGAACAATCTCTTGATGAAGCACAACCAGCAAGAGAACGAAAACAATAACAAAGAGTATTAAAAATAAAAACTTCAACTAAAAATACTTAAAATGAATTGCATTTGCATGCGGGGCTTGTTTTGTATGCGAGAGAGGGATTATTATAATATTGTTTATCAAACTGCCATGGTATGAAGTGTGCTATGGATAGATTAACTTGGCAAGCCACAACGGTATAAATTATCATACGATTTCGCTTAAGAAAGAAAACGTTCTAGAAATTTTATGTTTTGCGTTTGCAATGACTTGCGTTTTTTATATAAAAAGAATTTGCTTAGAATTTCATGATTAGAGGAAATTTAAACTTGAAATACAAAAAAGTTCTAGCATTATCAGCTTACATTTAATCCAATTAATCAATAAATGTACATATGTACATACATACATATGTACATTTTTATACATTTACAATTTGTAGTCACAATAATTTTATAAATGTGCATATGTAAGTATGGGACGACAGTATTGTTTTTATGAAAACAAATCACAAAGAATTTAATTCATCTGAATAGTCTAAACAATGCACAGATATAAAACTATTGATACATTTTTTAAGCTAATAACATTGCTTGATTTAAGGGCACTGAACTTAAGTCTGGCTTTGAAAATTCTCATTCATATCACTATTTGTTTTGGGACCATTTGGCCAGAAATGTTTTTGTTAAGGCTGGTTCTATACTAAATAAGCTTATACTGCAAAGGCTTTTAACATTCCATGCAATCTCGAATGTTAAGAGAACAGGACGGAATTTGTGTAAAAGTTGTTGAATGAATGAAACATAAAACATTAGTTAAGTGTCCGGTTTCAGATTATGCATTTTTATTGATCGTTACTTTGATGTTTATTTTGCTGCTGTTCCACTCCATCATTTTAGCTGACTCTTCAACATTTTTCATCCCTTCTCTTACCACTCACATAATACAAATTGTTTTAGCATACTTTTCGGCCGTCAGCCATATTACAAGCACAAAATTGATGGGCCGAAAAGAGTACCGAATTCATTCTACATAACTCATTAAATACGATTTAGGCCAATTTGTCAAAATCTTACGAAATTTATTTCAGTCGTAAATTGAAAGCTCAGCACAGCTGTCAAGTGAATCACGCATTCGCATCGTTGGCCAAATCAAGACGAAAACAAAATGCGCACAAAACCAATCACAGACGGAAAACTAATTCAACACAATGCCCCCCGAAAATTGCATGCAATTGAAATGGAGGCTGAGTAAACATTTGTTTCGGCTCCATTCCTGTTCAGTTGGTCCTCTGCCGAGGCCAATTACCATCGTCGAACCGAACCCGAATAAACTTTAATGGCATTTGTTATGCGGCGGTCCCTGTTATTGATGATTCTGCTGTCGATGCGGTTGCTGTCCTCAGCTGCATGAAATATTTAATAACCGAAGGCAAACAGTTTGGCGTAAAAAATAAATTGCATATGGACAGCTCAGCTCAGCTCAGCTCCGCTCACCAGGACACGCACTTAAATGTCATTGATTGCTGGACCAGGCATTGGGTGGGTTATAAATGCGAAAATGAAATTTACAACAATTTGCTGGAAATTACTTTCAATTGAATTTAGTTACGCCTGGTGGGAGTCGTTGTCGTTCCTCGCGCTAGTATAATTTTATGGATGATTACGTAAATTAAGTTTGGTTTGTGTGTGTGGTGGCATGATACTTGTGTGTAGAGTTATTCAGGTGAGGTAAAGGTTGGAATATAATTAACACGTGTATTATTTGTGTTTCCTGGGAGCTGAAATTGAATAGCCCAATGGAAAATATATCAAGATCTATTTGTAATAATTTACAAATAAGTGATTGAGGTGGTTTTGGTTTTGATTTGAGAACAATCATATGTTACTGTAAGACAGAAACTGATTAACAATTATTTTTATTAGCTGACTATAACTGTTTAATGAGTTTGACTCAATCATTCTTGCTTAAGCCCTTTATTAAATAACTTTCGAATCATTGTAACTACTAAAATTCTTATTTATTCCTTTTGTCTCACACTGAACTATGTATAAGAATATTCAAATCATGACAATGTCCCAAATTGACATTTGTTTGGTCACCAAATATTAACAAACGCCAAGCATGGTGAATGGAAAATCCATCAATTTTGTGCGGTAATGATCTCTGTCAAAGGTCAAATCAAACAATGGAAATTCTAGACCAAAATCTACGTGACCCCCTTTGGACTTTGGCCAGAACCAAAACCGAAAACCCTAATGCTTTATGCTTTTGGCACACAATATAAAACAAGGGAGAGTGAAAAAGAAGGAGCCGCGTAGAGGCATGGGAAAAAAATCTCGAAAATATATGCAAATTGCTTATGGTTTGCTTTTGCTTACACTTACTTGACCCTAACCGTTTTTTCTTTCTCCCCCTGCAATGCTCCACCTTTTTTTATCGCTCACTTTTTCAGTGACTCGGGTTTCATGGCTCGATATAATGGTTGCTTGCCGCAGAAGGGTCAAGCGGTTAGCGGGAAGTTATGGCTCCAGTTATTTGTTAAGTTATTAAGCAGCCCACATGGCGTATGCGCAATGCGTATACGTAATTGACATGCAAATTCCCCTAATTTATGCCCATACCTCCTGTTTGTTCCCATTGCAGATATGAAACCTACAAGGCCACGCTCAAGAAAATCCCCGCAACACGTCTCTCCCGACTGACTGAAGCCCTGGCCAACTACGATCCGGTACTCAATGAATACTTCTTTGATCGCCATCCCGGGGTCTTCACCCAAATCCTCAACTATTACAGGTAAGTGTCCGAGTGCTGAGCCGGGCTAATTAAGCTGCTGAAAGCTGTTTATACGTGCAATGACTGTAAATGCGGGCTGGGAGAAGTCTTGGTCATGGTAATTACCTCATTTAGTTCATACAGACATAGTGAGGGAGAAGAGACATTCTACCGGGAAAATTCCACCTTAGCTCCTTTCGCCTACCTCATTTTATTTCAGCTACCTTTGGCATTTCAATTTGTGTTCTTCTCAGTAAAATGATTGCCCTGATTAATGACAGTCGAGGAAAAATATCAAGAGTCAGTTTTCGTTATAGATTGCTTGATGTGTAAACAAACTAATATTTTAATTGCTGCCCCAGGACCAGAACGAACTTGCCTCGGCCATTAATCTAAAGTTTTTGAGCTGCGAAAGTTTATCCAACGTTTTTCGGGGTCATTAGCGGGCTCATTTATCTTTGCCGTAAGCTGAGTTGAGGTGTTGTCTGCCCTGTTGCGATGACTTAAGTTGTTTAAAATTAATGAAAGTTTGTTTTGCTCATCACCCTTTCCCGTCGCCATCCGCACCTGAAGCTGCAGCTGCAGATGGAGTTGTTTTCGGATGAAACAACGCTGTCAGCATCCACGGTCCTTCATCTTCATTGATTGGGCAGGAGCGTCCGTTACCCTGTTTTCCTGCAAGCCCATGGCTCCAGGGGCTTTGGCCAAACAGTTTTCCAACTCAATTAACCAGGCACCAACGGCCAGGAAAATGGTGTCAAAGAGGGGCAGCAGCAGGAAAAAATACTGCAACATCCCGCGTTGATTGGAAATGAAACTGAGTCCCCCAGGGGGGTGTGGCTGATACTAGGGGTCCTCCCGAAGCCCACCCTCCTTAGGGGATATATAATCAAATTATGCACGCACCAAATGCTTCAGACAATTTGTGTGAAAAGATTTCATATAGATAAACTGTACAGGATGCAAAAGAGCAGTAAAATAACAAAGCAATATGCGCGATGGGATTGTTTTCAATCGATTACTTAGAGATAAAATGTTATTTATTTAACGAAATGAAAATATTCACATTTTAAGCAAATTTCATATATTTTATGTTGATGTTACAAAGGCCGTTTATAGATATGTCAAGTTTCAAATTCATTATCGCTAGCATTAAATGCCCATGAAAAAGGCTAATTAACTTAAAAGCGTTATAAAAGGATTTTAATCTTCTTTTTATACCCTTGCAGAGGGTATTATAATTTTGGTCAAAAGTGTGCAACGCAGTGAAGGAGACATCTCCGACCCTATAAAGTATATATATTCTTGATCAGGATCACCTCCTGAGTTGATATAGCCATGTCCGTCTGTCCGTCTGTCCGTCTGTCCGTCTGTCCGTCTGTCTGTCCGTCTGTCTGTCCGTCTGTCTGTTTCTACGCGAACTAGTCTCTCAGTTTTAAAGATATCGAGTTGAAACTTTGCACACACCCTTCTTTCCTTTGCACGCAGTATATAAGTCGGAACGGCCGGGATCGGCCGACTATATCCTATAGCTGCCATATAACTGATTGATCGGAAATGCCATAACTCTGCTGTTTGTTAAGTTAGGAAGTTGAGACTTTCTATGGGTTTTATATTTGGCCAATCAATCCGACGTACCAAATTTCATAAGGATCGGCCGACTATATCTTATAGCTGCCATATAACTGATTGATCGGAAATGCCATAACTTTGGTGTTTGTAAAGTTAGGAAGTTGGGATTTTCTATGGGTTTTACATTTGGCCAATTAATCCGACCTACCAAATTTCATAAGGATCGGCCAACTATATCTTATAGCTGCCATATAACTGATTGATCGGAAATGCCATAACTTTGGTGTTTGTTAAGTTAGGAAGTTGGGATTTTCTATGGGTTTTATTTTTGCCTAATCAATCCGACATATCAAATTTCATAAGGATCGGCCGACTATATTCTATAGCTGCCATATAACTGAACGATTGGAAATGCCATAACTTTGGTGTTTTTAAAGTTAGGAAGTTGGGATTTTTTATGAGAATTAAGAAGGCATTATATGAATGATTTTGGAGAATATAATTTGCAGAATATTCTGCAAGGGTATTTCAACTTCGGCTCCGCCCGAAGTTAGCTTTCCTTTCTTGTTTAAAATGAAACATGTGTCATTAATAAGCATTCGTTATGCATCTTCAAACAGACAAAGCATTTCCTTGAGAGATTCTCATTATATTGACAGCTAATTTCAGCAATTAATACAAAACATTGAAACTGATATCCAATTAATTATACATTCAAATTATATAACTTTTACCCCTTGTCGTTGGCTAAGGGCTTTCACTTTTAATTGAGGGGTCGCTAAAACCACTTAAAAACTGAACTCGTTTAAATTGTAAAATAGCGTTATTTTTAAAGTATTTAATAGTTTCGTTAGTAAAGACATATATAAGACATGTCAATCATTCCCTCATTTTTAATGCAAATTCCTTGAAGCGAGTGTGTCAGAGACAATCGATACCATTATTTATGCATACTTAAACGCAAAGAGTCTTAATGCGTCTGATCGACTCGGGTCCTTGTTGAGGTCAGCTATAAATATTGATTGCATCGGTTGCACGCTGCGTATGCGTAATATTTGTTATGCAGGCTTTATGAAAGAAAATGGCGAAGAAATTCAGAGGTGGAGAATTAAGAGAGAATGGAAGTGATTTCACCGAAATGTAATTTGAGCACACGGAAAATATTTAAATGGCGAGAAAGCGGTATAAAAAGTTGACTGAATTGCGGGTCTTATGGAGAAAACCAATTAACGAGAGTTATATCGAAAAGCCATGAAAATCACTGCAGTGTGCTTCAGAAGATTAAAAGTATTGGGAGATATATAAAGTTATGGAAGTTTTAATACCGTGTGCTGCAACAAACAATAGGAAAGTACGATTATTTTAAGGCTGAATAATTTTAAATATTGAAAACTTGGTTAAACCAAAAGTAGTTATAAAAATCAATTATCATGTTCTGACCGGCCGGCTTGTAATCCTGTCTTGACTTATTGCAAAACTGTAGGGTATTTATAGCGAAAAACAATCGTTCCGTTAAAATAACCATGCAACATTCGGGCGGACATGTCAGAATGTCAAATTCTGTTGCGGCAGCCAAAGTCAGTAATGGACCTGGATCAGCATCGCGAAATAAAAGCGGCAATTTGCAAGTCCACAAACAAGAGGGATGTGCCCCAACAATTCTTTTCCTTTTATTTTACTTTATAATATTTTTTTAAAGGATTTCATGGTACGAAATGATTTTTAACCAGCACAAAAGCACAGGTTGCACAAGAGAGCGAAAAACTTGCAGCAAATATGTTGGGAACCGGCACAAAAAAGGACATTCAGCATGTGCACACGTGACGCGCACACAATAACAAACCTGCGTGTGTGTGTGAGGGGGGGATGGGGGAGTGTAATGGGTGGAGAGTGAAGATATCATCCAAAAATAAAACCATGCAAGGACTCACCCCCGCACTCGGCGACTGTCCGGCAGCTGATATGGCATTACAAGTTGGCCAACAACTGTGGACAAGGACGACCCCTTCCCTCCGCCCATCCTTTTTTGGAACTCCCCCGCAGCCATTTACTGCAATTTGAGCTCACACACAGCGAAAGCATCACAAATTGTTGTTGGCCAGAAGAATGGAACAATGGCCAAGGCAGCATTATGAATATACCAAGTGCCAGAGAAGAGGGTCAAGAGGTGGGTGCGGAATGACCATGTCTGTTTTTTTTTTTTGTTAACCAGGTGCATGCATATCCACACATTTGCCCGCCATGCATATGCAAGTGATACCTTTCCATTCCCCCCAGACATTCAGTTGCGCAATTTGCAGCCACAATTCCAGACGTGCCGTTTTGACCATAATATTATTCGGTCTGATGTCTAAGTCCCCTGCATGCTTGGCCAGGTCCAAAGTCCATGAATTCGTTTAGACCGGTTGGAGCAGTCGGTGCGGACACTCCTCGATGGAGAGAGCATTTAGTCAAAGGTTATTTACGCCATAATTGTTATGTCTTAATGAGATTCTATGCAAGCAAGGCATCTCGAGTTTGAATAATTTTGAAACAAAGACTGGGGGAATAAAGCTGAGCAGAGTGGTATTCAAATTTATGAGAAAATTCTTGACTTGAATCTTTCACTGATGGGCAACTAAGTTGAATATATAAATGCGTTTAAGATGAACAACACTATTATGAAAGGTTAAACAGCAGGTAATTGATTTCCCTAACAAAGATAAAAATGCATTTCCATTTACGGTTGAGTATTAAGTATATTAATGACTTGAATGCAGAAACTTTTGCAGATAATTTTATTTATTTATGGTTAAATTGAAAGGTCACTTTGATGATAATTATAAGCTTGTCATTAGTAATTTTCTTCTCTCGCAGAACTGGAAAACTACACTATCCAACTGACGTGTGTGGCCCGCTTTTCGAAGAGGAGCTGGAATTCTGGGGACTCGACTCTAACCAGGTAGAACCTTGCTGTTGGTCAACCTATAGCATACATCGCGATACGCAAGTAAGTTATGCTAGTTTTCAACCCGATTATTAACATTTTTAAATTATATCGCTCAATTCATCCTTAGAACACCTTAGCCATATTAGATAAGCTAGATATTGAAAATGAGAAGCCCACGGAGGAGCAGATAGCTCGTCTATTTGGCTTTGAGGAGGCACTCAGCAACGGCGAGCTTAACTGCTGGCAGCGTCTGAAACCCAAGATCTGGGCCATGTTCGATGAGCCCTCCAGCTCCACGGGCGCCAAGGTGGGTTGTCATCTTTCATCTTTCATTGTTTTTAACTTTGTTTATACCTGATGTATATTGATGTATATAAAACACAAAGAAGAATTTAAGAATGAGTTTTTGCAGAATTATATTTAATTTTATATTGCAAACGTAATTTAAATAAGGCACATTGTTAAATAAGATTTTGATTTTCCGAAGAATAATAAAATCATATTGCTAATATAATTTAATTTTAGCTAGTTTTATTTTAGTTGTATACTGTAAAAGTAATTTAACCAATTTAATGATTTAAGCTAAAAATTAAATTAAATGAATAAAGTTAAATAAGAGATAATCTATCAGCAATAGCTGCTTATTTCTTTAATAAACCCTTTTTGACTTAATGGTTTTCTTTTCACAGATCGTTGCTGGCATGTCGGTTTTCTTTATATTTGTTTCTGTGATATCATTCTGCCTGAAGACCCACCCCGGCTTTCGCGTGGACCTGCCCTCCGGCCCCGACGACGCCCACGGCCCAGGGTCGGGCGGACCGCCCCACGGTCACGATCCCTTGGGTGAACCGCCGCAGACCCATCAATATCATCAGCACAGCATCACGCCGCCCAGCGGCAGCATCGGACCCACCTTTCGTGTCACGAACTACACGAGCTACAGCAGCGGCAACTTCACCGCCCCCGGCCAGGCCACGCCCATCGCTACCATCAAGGGCGGCCAGCGGCAGCGACTGAAACGGAATATAAACGGGAGCAGCCTAAACGAGTTCATCGAGGAGAAGTTGCTGGGCCACAGTGGGAAAAGGAAGCACGGATGGATCGAGACCTACGGCCAGCCCCATGAGGCCTTCTTCTACGTGGAGCTGGTCTGCAACGTCTGGTTCTTCATCGAAGTCGTAATCAGGCTGATTGTGAGTAGTCGCAAATCAATTCACATTTTAAAGAGAAATACAAAATTTCAGTTATTTGAATAATCAAAGTTTAATCTATTTCGATAAATTTTCATTACCGAAAAGAAAAGTAATAAATATAATTTTGTATAGTTTATGAAAGGGTGTTAGCATTGGCAAGTCTTAGTTACCCTTGGCAAGTCTTACCCTTTCAGATTTAATACAAATTTATTTTTCACCAAACCTCTAATTCAGGCTAGGTATCTCAAGTTTTGTCAGTCTTCCGAAGCATTTTCGTTATTGCTTATGGTAGCCACATGATATAGTCATATTTAAAAAAAATTAAAACCAAGTATATCAAATCGTGAAAATTAAAAATGCGTAGATGTTTAAAAAAGCCAGGAAGTTATATATTTTTTAAAATTTATTTTCAGGTCTCCCCCAATTTGTGGCAGTTCATCAAGTCGCCCGTCAATATCATAGACTTTACTGCCACCCTGAGCTTCTACACGGACGTAATGCAGCGCATGGGCGAATACACAGGACTCCTGGAGGCTTTTTCTATCGTCAGGATAATGCGGCTGTTCAAGCTGACACGCCACTCGCCAGGTTTAAGGATCCTCATCCATACTTTCAAGGCCTCGGCCAAGGAGCTGACTCTGCTGGTCTTCTTCCTCGTCTTGGGCATTGTCTTCTTTGCCAGTCTGGCATACTATGCGGAGAAGTTGCAGGTAAGTTCTTCTTGAAAGGATTATTATCATTATTTATTCCATTTGAAAGATTTATAACTTTATATTCGCGTGATAATAATATTGTTCTAGAATTGGAAAATATTAGAATGAAAAAAAATAAAATGTACCCTAAGCAATTAATTATATCAGTTAAAATAAAATTTTAGGCTCAACCAGAAATAAATACTTATGAATAAATTAACAACGATAAATGAGCTTTAAATAAAAACTAATTGCTAAAAAAATTATTGATAATTAGGACGCTTTAAATGAGCTATTTAGGGTAATTTATTGTACACAATATACAATATTAACTTTATTAAAAATGGAGAAATAAAAAATTATTAATTTTCCCCCAGGACAATCCGGACAACCAGTTCAAGAGTATTCCCTTGGGTCTGTGGTGGGCGATTGTGACCATGACCACGGTGGGATATGGCGATGTGGCGCCTAAGACCTATCCAGGAATGTTCGTGGGCGCCCTGTGTGCGTTGGCCGGTGTGCTGACCATCGCATTACCCGTTCCCGTCATCGTTAGCAACTTCTCCATGTTCTACTCCCACACTCAGGTTGGTGGGCGATTCGGAAGCTGTTTGTCCCCGTTGTTTACCCAGTTTGCGTTTCTATTCCCAGGCTCGCTCCAAGCTGCCCAAGAAACGACGACGAGTCCTGCCCGTGGAGCAGCCGCGTCGCAAGAGGGAGCCAACTGCTCCGCATCGCGGAAGGACGAATGCCATTAAACAGACGCCACCCACAGGGCCAGGATTGGTGGCCGGGGGCGTTGGTCCAGCGGGAGCAGGAGGGGGAGGACTCGGTGGCCATGCCGTGGGTCACCCCGCTGTAGGGGCGCCCATGCTCAAGGATGCATTCGGCGGTGCCAAGATTGGTGAGTCCAGTAGCTGGCTTTTGGTATACCCAGTACTCGAAGAAAACCCTAATGTATTAAAAAATTGATTAAAAAAGGTACTTTAACCTTTAATATTTGTTGAATTTGACATAGACTTTGAAAAACTCTTTTTTAAACGGATTTGAGAATCTAAAATTAAATAATTTAGTGTCATTATTTACAATCGATTACTTTAATTGTTAAATTTTTTCGAAACACTTAAATTTAACTCGATGTACTTAAACAATTTTTTTTGTAAATACGTTTCGTTTTATTTATGAATGTTTATTAATCCCGAAGAGTTTATCTATTATAGATCAATAATTATAATCCGAGAGATTATTATAATCTAACACTTTTCAATGGTTAGGAAAAGCATACATCGCGTATACGCAACGTATTGTATACATTTAGGGCACTTTAAAAATTCGAGTACCGGGTATTAAGAAGGTCGCAAACTTTCGACTTTACTCCACTTTCTGTCACTTTAAAATTGTGTTGAATTTAATTATCTTTTTTGTTGCTATTTTGGCCTGCAGATATTTAGAGCAGTCTCAGTGATACAGACTAATACACTGACACATGCAGCATACATCACACAGATACTCACACACAGACGCTCGCTCTTGGTTTTGCTTTTTCCTCGCTCATGGGGCTGAATTAATTTCATTCAATTTCTTGTTTAATTATTTTATTATTTATGCACCCTTCACTGGGCGAGTCAGCTGTTATTTAGCATTTAGTATTCCCCGGGGTGCTGCCGCCCCCAAAGAGAGTTTTCCCCCGCCTCCGCCCCCAACCACGCCCACGCCCACAGGGAGCTTCTTGTGGTAAATTTCCATTTTACTGATTATTCAAAAGCATTGAAGGCAGGACTTTCACCACATGTGAGTGGCTCGGATGCTGATGAGGCTGCAGGCCCCGGGGGCAGAAGGACTTAAGTGGATATATGCACTCAACCGAAGACAAGATTTCCCACTATCCCCTGCTCGCAGCAGTTGCAATTTCAGAGCAATTTCGGAATCACCAAGGGTTATAAATTCAATGTCGTACGAGGATTTATAATCGTTTCGGTTTTGCTTAATGCTCTCAATTCTGGCCTGAGGAATTAACTTTGCCAAGCTGCAGTGTCCATTAATGTCGAATGGAGATAATCCCGATTATTTATGGTCCTTAAAGGGGTCAGATTTGGGAGCAACAAATAATAGTTCAACATTCGACTAGTTATGAAAGATAGTTTACCAGGTTATTCGATTACAACATTTGAGACTATTCAAAATTTCAATGCTGATTTCTTTCTTCTGATCTCAAGGACTTTTTACTGTTTGTTAAATGGAACCCCAATGAATTTTTTTTAAATCATTTCAATTTTAAACATTTTTTCTATACGTGTTAAGCTTTTTTTGTACAAACCTTTTAATTACACAGTGTTTTTCTTCTTTTTGAAGGCTTTACAAAATTTGAAATTATATCAATCTTCCCTATCCCATATCCCCATATTCAAATAAATTTGATGTTGCTGCATATTGTTCTTAAATTAATTTCCTTTTTTTGTTTCTTAATGTTGGTCTATTGTATTTGTATTTGTTACTTTCTGTGTGTTGGTGTAACAACATGTAAACGAATGCGTGTGTTGTATATGTGTATCCGAATGTAAATGCATCCGTATCCGTATCCGTCCGCCGGTCGGTAATCCAGGCAGCGTGAACGTGAACGGCGTCAATGTCATTGGCCTGCATCCTGCGCAAAGGACGACGACGTCGATGACGAATATGGCAGATCCGACGGCGATGTCGGCAATGACCTACCAAGTGCCTATGCTCCAGCCCCCGCCCGCCCACAGTCATGGCCACGCCCATGGCCACGCCCACGTCCACGCCCACAGCCTTGGCACCGCGTCGGCGGCGATGACGTCACCGGCATCGCTTACAGGCTCAGCTGCCTCGGCAGCCGTTGCCACAGCCGCCGGTCCCTCCTTCGTCAGTTGTAAGTGTTGTCTTGTCTTGTGTCTATCTGCCCATCCCCCTTTCTACATTCTACTTTCTACTCCCCCCCTTCACCACCCCTTTCTCTTCGCCGTCTTTCTCTGTCTTGGCATGCTGCACGTGTACAAATGTTTGTTAACCATTTACAGAAAATTTCTTTTTGTGCCTGGGAAGTACTGAGAAAAATAAACACTGGTATATTTATAGAAAAAAGGGTACCTTTTTTTGTGGACATGAATGATTCAGTGAATCATTGCTTGAAAGGATAATTGATTTTATTTAACTCATAAATTTTAAATTCCAAAGATTTATATATAATTTAGATATTTAGTTTTCTTTCCCATTATCAATAAAGGATTTAATGAATCATCGCTCGAAAGGCATATTGGTTTTCATAAAAGTTTATAACATTAAGATTCATTGAAGAGATAGACGTTGTATTGTTTTTTCGTGGACTTTATTTCCTTATCCCTGAACTTAGCAAGCAAATAATATTTACATTTTTTATTTACTTAAAGCAAATTAAATGAATTAGAAATATGATAATTATTAATAGTTAATATAATTACATTTAAATAAATACTTACAGTACAAACAAAATTATTTGCTTAACGTTTACAATTCTCACCAAAAAGTTTTGTTGTTATTTGATTAAAAGTTGAATGCAATTATTCATTGATATAAGACCTAAAATTCATCTATTCAATGAAAACGTCATATGGATTGTATTGGACTTCAACAATTCATTTACAAACTTTCAATTTTGTTTCTCTGTGTAGATTTGCCTTTAATGCCTGGGTAAGATCTTCTTATGGGCTTGCAACAATTAGTCCCATGGGTTGGGGCAACACCCTCCCAAAACCCTATTGTCATTCCCCTGAGCTTGTTAAAATTTATCGCATGCTATAAATTTTCCCCAAAGGCCATAACTCTGTCACTTCGAGAGTCAGTCAATAAAAGAGCTTGCAACAAACAGAAAGCGGAAAAAAGAAAACTTTTTATGTTTATTTGCATATTAAAAGCTTTTGGCAACTTCTTTTTATTCTCGGCATTTAACTTTAATTACAATTTTATTATGCTATCCGAAAATCCTTTTTATGTCATATTTCACAAAGGGCACACGAGCGCAAACATTCTATGCGCTTTCGCTCGCCTACACTTAAGCACTCAAACATATATAGAAATAAAGTTCATTTATCGTCAAACAAATTGAAAAACTTTTTCCATTTGCTCGCCCGTCCACCAAAGCGCTGGAAAATAGCCCTACTCACAAGCGAAAATTGAATGAAAAGTGTAAAAATATGAGGAAGAAAAACCTGTCGAAAAAAGTATAATGAGAAGAACCTGGTCAGAAAAATTTCTGCATGATGTGCATTTTAATTAAAGCCACAAAAGCTCAAGTGTGCAAGCTCAAATCTCCACTTTTCTTTTTTCTTTTGTCCAGGAAAGAAAAGAACCGAGTGAGTCGGGGCTCAAATGGGGAAACGGAAGGCAGTTTGCGGCTCTCAAGGCGATTAATTTCTTGAGCCACTTGTGAGCTTGAGAAAAGTAAAAAAAACGAGAAATTCAGTCAAAAGTTGAAAGTTGCTTAGCTGAACTTCCTCGGATGTTGTATACTGCGGGTCTTCAAGAGAAAGTGTTAAAAGAAAAAAGAACCATAAATGTTAATTCAAAAAGCAAATGAAAGTTTTGAGCTGTAGTTATACAAGAAAAGTTCAGACGATTTACGTTTAAATATGAATGGAACTTTATTGTTTCTTTTATACCACTTTTCATACTATCAAATATTTATTTTATTAGTACTTTAATAGCAAATAAAGGTTAGAATAATTAAATAATAAATTTCTGTACCCTCTAAATGCTCCGCAGACTTCTTTATTTCCATTTTGCTCCAGCTGTGAAAAACTAATTGCTCTATTTATAAATATTTCTAGTGTTAGTCAAGAATTTTAAAATTTTCCCAAGCCGCTTTGGAGAAATGTAATTATTAAATGCTTTCTTTGTTGTCACGTTGTTTTCATTTTAAAAGCGGTTCGCACGTATTGCAACTTTTTTTTAAGCCGCTTAGAAGACACAACTGGCCCCATTTCCTGGCTAAAAAAAGGCAACAAGAATAAATGTTGCATACTTTGGCACGTACTGAGCCGGGGCAAATGACATTTCTCTGTTCGCCGGAAATGCAGGAGCGGTGACATTTGGCACGGTTCCTTTTTACCGCCCCTTTTTCCGTTTTTAAGCTGCTTTGCATTATGCCAAGGTGTGGAAACTCGGGGGGAGAATGCATTTGCTCCCTACTTTCGGATGCAAATTGTGGGCACAAAAATAGCAACTAAATCATTAGCAGGCTGCAGGAGTTACAGGGTTACTTCTGGAAACTTGTAGTGGTCATTAACCAAACACACATATATATACACAGTGCACGGGCACAGGCTTGAACAATTTATGGCCACAGTGGGTTAAGACTGAATACCAACGGCCAGGAATTTTAATTAAGGCCGGCAGTGGGTGCCGATGGCCGCTCACCTAAAGGCATCTGGTCTGTGAAAAAACCCCAACGCATTTCTCAACGAGTTTCACTTGCTGCAATTTCATTTTGTTCTTTGCACCGCCAAGAGCTCAGGGAGTGTGCGCAAATTAATTTGAATATTTAAAGTTGTTGCTCTAGCTCAAATACTAACTGTTGGAGTAAACCAATTTTCACGGTAACAACTTTTCAACGACTGTCAATTTTAGTTAAAAGTTTGTCTGAAAAGAAAGGTCCTTTGATGGATTGCCTTGTTAAGTGGAGGAATTTCCATTGATAACTTTTGGTTAACTTTTTATAAAATATGTTTACTCGGAGCAGGAAAAACTGCAAATCGAATTTTTATATGTAGATAATATTCATATTTAAGTACAAACTTTTGCTAGAATATATAGATCTCTATATTTTTTGTTAATATTTATTTATATATGTATATAAATATATTTAAATTTTATTTTTTTTACCATTTAATTTTCTGAATTTATTTAATTTCTTGTAACATTTTCTTTTTAGCTTTAGTCGTAACTTTCCCCGTTTGCCTCTTCTAAATTGCTTAACTTTGACATCTTTGGCTACTTTTTATCCAAGCCTGCTTTAAACTTTCGTTGCTTAAATTTTGTTTGAAAATAGATTTTCCCCCACTTGCAATTATTGCAAGTTAAAAGTTGTTCACGTCCGCTCGTCAAGTTCCCGTTGATTGAAACGATAAATATATATATATTTTATGCGAGTATATTTATCTATAGAAATATTAAAAATGATTTCGCAACTTTTCACTTTTTTTTGTGTGTCTTGCCGCCAACTTTTTTATCATAATGCTATGTAGAAAAAATGTTAGCTGCGTGCCTTTTTAAAGTTTTGTAAACGAATACCATTCCTTCTTGGTTTTTCCCCTGCTTTCGTGTTTGTTTTCTTTTCGGTTGTTTTGGGGGAAACTTTTGCCTTGGCCCGGCCACCGTTACATTGTTTGCTCCGACGGCACTAACGCATTTCCCCGGCTTTTCCGGGCCGCCTCCTCTGACTTTGCAGCGGACTACTTGAGCGTGCCGGCGGTGCAGAGCCTTCAGCCGCGGGCGGCGACGACTGGCCACGACTTCATGCTGCCGCTCCAGCCGAAACTTCTGGGCCCCCTGGGTGAGTTGATGATGGGTTTCCTCCTCCTCCTCCTCCTGCTCCTCCTGCTCATCCGCCGCCAGCCAGGGATTTCCCCTTCAGACCCAGTTAGTTGAAAGTTTTACAAACAGATAATTGCGGGCGGGGGCGGCGGAAAAGGTGAGGCCAACGCAGTTGAACCCACTTGTAACCACACACATAGTTTGAGAGCCATTGTACGGCCAGGACAATGGTTGCTGTCAGGACGAGGGCAGGGTGCCACCGGAAAGTTTTCACACCCCTGCAAAACAATGCGCTCTGAAATACGCAGAGCATACTTTCTTATCTGTTGGTTAATTTTTTTAAAAACGGTTTTCTATTATGTGTTTTATTATCATCAAATATTAAGCCTTTTTATGGTATCATTTTGGTCCGGAAAAAGGGAATTCTACAATACACGCTACAAAATCTGAGCTTACACTATATTATAATAATAATGGAAAGTTTAAATATACAGTTAATTAAAAGTACATTTTTGATAGTGTTTTCTTAAATTCTATTTAAAGTCTCTAGTGACTGATTTGAATTTGACCACAATATTTTCTATAGATTAGTATTTGTATTATTAAAACCCTTAACATTAAAGGATTTAATCAAACGACAACCCTTTAATGTTCGTTAGAATGCACTAATTTACCATTTAGTTTTACTTAAACAGGAAAGCTGCAGACCAATACACTCTATTTAATATTTGATTCACTCAACATTCCTTTAAATTTAGTTAATTTGATTTGATTTCACGTACTGACCGCATAGCGCCCCTAGAAGCACAGTTTCAATTGAGGACAGGGTACTGAGTGCTTCCACTTCCTCATCTTTCCCATTCACAAAACACGAGACCAGTGGGAGGCGGAAGTGCTGGGGGACGCGAAGTGATGGCTCATTCACTTGGAGCCCTCACAGATGCCTGCACAATGTGGAGGCGATAAACCAATCGCCGACATGTCCTCGAATGCACTTCCGCTTCCGTGTTCGCATCCTTCAGAAAGTTTGCAAACTGAAGTGTTTATAGCTGCCATCTCTTCTCCTTTCCCCCTTTCTCCACTCGATAGAACGCAAGGATCAGCATCCGCTGCAGCTGACCGCCCACAATTTGGCCTCGGATACGCACCAGCTGATGTACTCGGGCCACGCCCACCCCCACCCCCATAAGGCGGGAGGCGGGGCAACGGTACTGAGTGTGCCGCCCACATTGAGCATGTCGCATACACAGATGCCGCCGGGAATGGCCAGCATGGGTCAGCGCACGCCCAATCTCAGTTTCCGAGCCGCCCACGGAGGAGCATCTCAGGTGGCCACGATTCAGCAGCCCATTCCGAATGTCCACGCCTGCCACGCCGGCACCGCGAATTGCAACATCAAGATTTCGGTGCCCCCGGGCGGAGTCTCTATGGGATGCCAAGACGAGTTTCGGGCTCCCAAGGTGACGCTGCTGGACGATCTCAGTGACGAGGTGAACTCCTCGACGGACGAGTGCGGGGACTGCTGTCTGGTGGAAGACAGTGATACCTACGAGGGCGCCACCATCAACAATGGCCAGAGTGGCCAGGAGAACGGAGCGGAAGTCATCGAGCTGGATGACGGTCTGCTCGACGGCGAAGATGACGAGGACGAGGACGGCGAGGGAAGCGGCTTGGGCGGGGACAGTGGCGATAGTCTCGGTGGAATCTACATAGGTCCCAGGCACTGATTGCCCGACATAAACTGGGATTTTCCTCACCAAAGCGGATTTACCAACTTCTGACAGGACTGCCTATCACTGCATCGCCAAACTGCAATTCGGTGAAAGTAAGGAGAAGGATAAAGGTATTAGGATTTCGAGATCATGTGTAAAGTGAATGAATTGTTAAATGCAGTGTGCTACTCTAACCAAAATGCTGAATGGAAATTCAACTGTTTAAAGGTGTGCTAAACGAAATTTATGTGAGAAATGGATCCTAAGGAGTTTAAAAACCAAGGTCAATCATACTCAAACTTTGCTCAGTTCTACTGCCATTGGTCATTCAAATATTAAGTAAATTTTAAGCTGATTTAAAAGAAAGATGTCTGAATAATTTCCCAGCTTGCAGCCAATAGTTTAAATCAATCTTAATTTAGAATTCTACAATTTCAACTCCTTAATCTTCTGAATATGTAAATAAAATGTAAGGACTAGCAGTGTTACTAACTTGTTTAGTCCAAGTATAGGTAAATACTTAAAATTAAGCTTGATTGCTCAACGGCAAAAAAAATTCGAGAAACTGAAATAGCTAAGTGTTCCCAAACTTTCAGAAAACTAAACCAATTAAAACTGTCATGTGCTCGAATGTTAAACAGAAGCAATGAATTTAATGCTTTCTCTATCGTAAAGAGGAGAGAAATTAAAGCTTTCACGGCAAGATGGGCTATTAATAGTTTCCAAAACTAAGATAGTGCTGATAAAACTATAGTTAGTCCCAAGATCACTGCCTTTTCATCTGAAAACTTTTCAAACTTAAGCTCGAAGGCACTGCGGTTGTTTTCCATTAATTTTTAAGACGGGACATTCCACATGTCTGGGTCATTTATCAGTAGTTTTAACCAATCTTTGCTCTCTACTCAAAGGACATTCCTGGTCTGACCAAGACAAACATCCGTAACATTTGTATCAGTGTCCCTATAACTGTCATGTTGACAACTGTCATTGGCAGCGTTTGTCTGTGTGTGCGTGTGTGTGGGGAGAGGGGCTTTCATGCAGCCGAGCACGTCCTGACAGAGTCCTGCAAACAAAGAGAAACGGAGATAGAGGAGCTGCCCGCATACAAGGCAAACATATCGTCCATATAAATGTGACCACTTGTGTGCAGCCAGCCAGCGATATAGCACCACCCACTCGACTCGTCAAGGTGCTTATTGTGCAAATCTTGGGACAAAAATTGCATGGGCCAACTATAAATTCCCACACTTGACTCCCACACGCTCCGTTTCCCGGCTAAGACCCTGAATCATGGCCAAAAGTGTCACTGGTCTTGTTTATCTGACACATTGACTGCCACCATTTCAATGAACTGCGAGCAAAAACTGTGTCGACAAGACGCACACAAAGGGCGACGACAGCCCAAAACTAAAACGGCGACGACATTCTTGTCCTTGGGAGGACACCAATCCACCCCCCTCCCAATCCACCCACTTCCTTTCATTCTGGCGGCTTGTGTGGTTGACCTTATAAATACTATTTTTGGGGTCGCTGTTACGAGGCGAATGTGTTAAGTTTTCATTCTTCGACATTTATTCCCATAAATGTTAATTGATTTATTCATAGAAGCTGGAAAAGAGAAAAGTAAAACGCATGGAACTGTAAATATTTGAGTATGACGGTCAAGGACTAACCAAATGAAAATTAAACTGAACATAAAAGAAGACAGTAGAAGACATATTTGACTTTAAATAAGGTTCAATGGTAATTTTTGGTCCAATATTTATAGTTTTTGATGTGCTACAAATGATTAACAAAAAGCGGAAAAATTTTGATTCAGATATGTAAGGGAAGATTAAAAAGTTAACGACTATTTAAGCAAAAGCTCGTTGTAAGTAATTGTGAAAAATAGTTGAGCGCATAAACTTAATTAGATATCATGCCCAAACATTGTGGTGAGGGAAGTGATTCCAATTAGTCAGTATAATCAAATCCGTTGGTCTGAATGTGCGTCGTTTTAAATTTACTCTTTATTACTTAGCTAATCTCTGATTAAAATGTTAAATAATTGCCTAATTGTTGTGTAAGGGTACCCTGGATTCGGCCTGCCGACTACAACGTTTTTTCTCGTTTAAATTAGAATCTTTACTTTTAAATGTATAAGGAAATGTTGCTTTAAATACTGTTCAATTTAGAAAAAGAAACACATGTTTTTCCGTATTACAAGCCCAAAATTCGAAAATATGAAAAATATAAGTAAATTATATAAATATTTATTGTTAATTCATAAACAAACTTTTTAACTAAAGGTAAAATTTAAATAATTTTACATAATCTTAATTGAAAATGGAAATGAATCTTTTGATATAAGAGATGCTGCCGCAAACCAGTGCTCATTGAAATAAATATTGTTTCAATAGGATTATAGTTAGTTTAAAAAACACAAGTGAGATACTAAACTAATGTAAAACTTTTGCCTAGCAAATAACTAAGTTTAGTCCGGTCAATGCAGAAAAATCCATTGCATTCTGTAATCGATACAAGAAATAAATCCTTTTGAAAGAAATCACCCACCACAGACAGGAAACAAGACCCCGGCTGAACGTAAATTACAAGAATTTCGGAACTATAATCTCTGTGTACATAGATAATCTCAAGAACAACCTAAATTTCATTAGTTAAATGTGGAGAACAGTAAAGAAACATTTCTACAATATTTATTGTAAGTAAAGTGTCAAGAGCAGAAGAAAAACAAAAACTGTTTACAAACAAAGCGAATTTTTAAATGTTGAAAAAAAATAAGAACCGGAAATGGAAAAAATAAACAAACAACAAAATGTGGTGTGCAAAAAATTTAAATTTTAACAGAAATAAAAATTCTTTGAAAAAGCATTCAATATTTTAATGATTTCTACCCAGACCCATCAACATAACCACACGTTTTTCAGCCAAACCGAGACACGTACCGCATTTTATGCTAATCAAACCGGGACGGGAAGAAAATTCAATTTCAGGGCCGCCCAACCAGAAGCCACGGATAGGATTTTTTAATTTAAAAGGGCCAACACGAGGCACTCCCACACACACACACGCGCCCAGGCAAAATGCGATTCCGACTCCCACTCACATTTCATTTGGCCAGGCCATAAACAGAGGATCAGCTTCGAGGCCGCCCTCATAAGGCCATTTAGAGGGAAATTTATGCTTGCCACCTCTGCAGTAAAGTGGACCAAAAAACACAGCCAAAAAATACCATCGGGCCCTTAGAAATGGGAAACTGCAAGTGATGGCGTCTAATATAGACACTTAACCACTTACAACCCGGCCAACGCACACACAGGCACAGCGCAGGACGATTTTGATACACGTACACGCAGTTGGCACATCAAAGCGCAAATCCATTAAGCATTAAGCGGGAGTCAGGTGCGAAACTATGCGGGCGGAGTCACAGAAATCCTGTTCATACCCTGCTTTATTATTTGGGACTCGGAAAAGTTTAAGGTTTACTTAAAACATAAAGATAAATAGGTAATTGATCTACGTATATCAATCTTTTTTTTTTTTTTTTATAAATAACAATAATAATATACATTTCATCTGTGATTATTACTAAAATAATATTTTGATTTTTTAACAATAAGTGCAAGTCATATGACTTTTTAAGAATATAGAATTTAATCTAACTGAATTTGGACCGTTTTTTCAATGTCTTTTTAAGGTTCCAAATGCGGTCATTCATTTTAATAAAGCATTGACTTTAGTTAAGAGTTTTCAGTCGGATAAACTCTAAATTTATATAGAGAAAGTAAATGGTTCTAAACATTTAACTTTATGTCAAAATTTAAGATGTCATTGAAAATTTGGCCTTAATTAAAGTTTAACTATATATATTAGTCGCATTCCTTAAAATGTTATAACCCAGAAAAACTCATAATTGGCCAACTAATCCATAAAGCTTATTATTTTGCATTATAGTTTTCCACTATTTTATGTTCACACCCTATGCCCATAGAAAGGGTATCATACGCCCCGTTGACATGGAATAGGGTAAAGGAAATCAGAAAACCAGCTACGTGAGCCCACTGCAAAGGCGATGAGCTTATCTGCAGACCAGAATCCCAGGAGTGTGCTACGGCGGTATGGCGGTATGGCTGTACGGCGGTACTTGGGTAAGAAAAACAGACGGAGACAGCAGAGCCGCTCATAAGCGAGGTAAGATTAATGAGCACCACCTGCCTGCAGACAAATTAGATGGCATAATTCAGCGTGACCCGCACACGGAACACATTCCTCGCGCTTATTCTTCGGCATAGGGCCCTTCTCATAGGTGTGCCGTAGATCCCCATCGTTAAGTGCTGGCAAATTTATGCAAAATAAATTATTTGCCAGTTTGAAATATGCAGGAACAAGAAAAGTAAGTGAAACCCGAGTTAAAGCGAGAGTATGGAACACACCCATCTCCCGCTGGAATCCAGCATAAGCTGCTGATTTATGCCCGACTTGATAAAATGTCGCATATCCGGTTCCGTCTTTGCTCTCAGGCCCTGGAAAATGAAATACAATTTCTTCGCTTTCCCTGTCTGCTTTCCTTACATTTCGGGGGAAATGGCAGGGAGGTTTGAGGATGGGGAGCTGCGATAAAAGCCAGAAGAAGTAATCAAAGCTAGCATATGGCGGCGATTGCTGCCTAGAAATGCATGGCAATCTCCAAATGTGTTCTCTGATTGTCTGCAACTCGTCAGACACCCCCATTTTTATTCATTTTCAGCTGCCTTTTTGTGTGTACTTTGGTGTGTTTTCGCATTGTGTGACTGTTTGTTATGGCTGGAGGGTGTGGCTGACGGGGCGTATGAGAAATGTTTCTTTCGATGAGTAATCGGGACATCTTATTCTGTTTCTTTTCGTGCGTCAAGACCATTTCATCAACACAATGTACGCATTACAATTGTAATAACTTGCAATTTAATAAATTCCATTTATTGTGTTTAGCAGATTTGGAAAGATGATGATCCCATTTAGACTAGTGTTTTGGAAAAAAGTATTTCTAATTTAATTACTAAATTTACAATATTATTATTTAAGGTCTGCGTTTTTAATCCTTTTAGAAAACACCTTCTTTTCCTTATAGCAGTCATTTTGAGGAAATATGACTAATAAAGTTGGGTTAGAACTGCATCGGTATATAAATTTGTTTCTTAGACAATGGATAGACTATAACACTAAAGCTCGACACTCTGGTGACCCACTTTGTCATTGAAAATGCCATTTCCATGAAACCAAAAAACTAGAGAAATGCAATTTCTGTTTCTTTCGTGTCCTGGCCTCCAAAAAGAGTTATTGCTCTAGAGTGCCTTGGAGCAGAGAACTATTCTTAAAAGGGGATATAAAGCACTTTAACTGGATAGACAAGACGGGCAAAGGAAAACACAGGATTCCTGGGTCAGTTACATCCCTCTTCTTCATCTTCTCCTTCCGCTGGACAACATCTGCGAGCCGTTCGCTTCCGAGTGGGCGGTTTCCTGGCCAATTGACATACTTTCAAAGCTCGTTGTCTGTCCCTCAGATTCATATTGATATAGCAGCCTAGCATCCGCCAGGACACCCGCATGGTCCTCCTCAGATTTTGGACGAACATCTTAAAGTAGTATATAGCGTCGGTGGCCTCGAGGACGTACCACAACACCGCTCCGCTCACCAAACTGGTGACTATTCCCGAAAGCCAGTATTCATAGGGCGAAGAATCGCAGCTGGGGTCTATAGCATTCAGCAGTACATCCGTCAGGTAGAACAGGAACCTTTCTAGGGCGCACCAAATGATTATCGTGCCCACTTCCGCCAGAAAAACGGCGGCTACGATCTCGACGAGGAGCTGCCAAAAGTGGGGCATGTGCATGAACCGGCGAGGATAGATGGAGACATCCCACAGGAAGCACATCGTGGCCCCCAGGAAGAGCCAGCTGGCCAGGTCCGGAGACGGCGAGCAACGATCTTTTGGCTGGGCAAAGAAAAAGAAGCAGCCCATTAGTTGGAAAAAGGCCGCCAAGCCCACTGCCAACTTTTCCATTTTTTTTTAAATTTTTAGAAAAAAAGTGTACTTGTCAAATTTATATTATTTGATTGAACGAAATATCTTATTTCTCAATCATTTAAAATACAGTGTGTTTAGATATTGAGGTAAGTAAGGTATAAATTCCTTTTTTTTTACTGATTTCTAGCTAGCTAATAATTCCTACATATGTATTTTTAAAAATATATTTTTTCTGGATCATAATACATATTCATCACTTAGTTTTCAGCCTTTGTAGGTTCTGCAATAACAAAATCGCTCTGAAAACAATGTACACACATCTGCGAAAAACAAGTATCTATAACAAAATAACATTAAAGTTCTGTAACTGATTAATCAAACTATCTTCATTTAGTTTTTATTAAAAACCCTCAATTAACTTAAGTGAAACAGGTTATGCTTACAAATGTTTAATCACCTTTAAGTGCAGATGCACCCACTTGCCTCAACATGATTGACAGTCTCTGGGTAATTAGCATGCTCCAATCAACAGAGGAAACCCCTTCACAGCGGAGCTCATTGCAATTAATTAGTGTTTGTCAGCCCATACAAATCGGCACACACACCCAAAGGCCCACTCAAACACAATATGTGACAGACTTATGGAGAAAATTAGTTTACCGACCCGCCCACTAATAGTCTCGCATTACCCGCTTATCTAAAATCGGTCGACAGACAGCCCAGGCAGTCATCCAAAAAAGTGCCAGCAAATTAACATAACATTTACCGCAATTAATCAAAATTAAATCGGCACCATCGCCCAGCTCCTCTGATGGCCATGTCAATGAACCGCATGAACAGCCCAGCTACACAGTTTCCACCCCGAAGTCACCTAGCAACCTCTGACCCCGACTTTTGGGGAGTGGTTTTGGGGCGAATGGGGGATAAATGGCTACCTGGCGGCCCACTGTGAACTTGAATCTATCAAAGCCATTGGCATCGTCTAAGTGAAAGTGCCTGGATGTGACAGGGACAAAGACCTTTTCGCCGCAGGCTGAGGCACAGTGGTCCAACCATATTAAGAATGCTATAATACATGATTAAATATCTATAAAAAAAAATGCTATTTTGATTTTGTGACTTGCTGGCTATATATTTCTTATAAATAGTTAACATAACTGTATAGATAGTAGCATTTCTTTTAAAACAGCAAAACAATCCACACTCATGCGGAAACCTTGTAATAGAAAATGTATATATATACCTATATTTTTAGTCGTAATTGTTGTCCACTGTTCCAAAACATTTACACACACTAAGCCCACTGATGAAGAGGGTTCATTGTTGTCAGGAACTGGGTCCTGTATTTGCTTGTGTGTGTTCGGGTTCATCTTGTCTATTTAAAAATTGATTTGTTGTTATTTACATGCGACATTATTTATTTGGGATATCTTTTTAAGCGATTTTATGCCAGCACCCGCTAATGGTGTGTCCTTCAGGTCTTGTTATCGCTGTCGAAAATCCAATTTGTAAGTGTCACTGACAGTTTTTGGGCAGAGAAAACGAGAGAAAGAGCGAGACAGATCCTGTTCGCAATTTTTTTATTGGTGATTTCTCCAGTGAAGCGGCAATCACAGTTGATTTCGAATGCAACAAGTTGGCCTGCTCCGGGATTCAACATGACTGTAGGTGTCACAGCATGACTTTGGTTTATGTATTCGGGGTTAAAATCCAAGTTTGTCTTCATTTGGAGGGATAGTGATGGAGATGGGAGTGCAAAATGGCAAATAGGGGCCAGTAATTGAAAGCAGTCGAGTAGAAAAATCAATCAAAATTGTGTGCTTGACATGCGAACGGGTTGGGTGATATTTCCTCGGGGTCTTTTCGGAAGGCAAACATTTATTAAATCACCCATTCGGAAGGCCATTTGCATAAATATTTATACAGGTCATTAAAAAATGCAAACATTTTCAGCTAAGGGCTGGGTACTTGTTGGTGATTAAGGCAAATTAATAATTAATTATAATTTGCATTCGTTCTGGACGATTGCCCCGTCATCGCTGGTGTATCCCAAAAAGAAAAAATGCCGCAAGGGAAACACTTATTTTTCAATTAAATAATAAATCAGTCCAGGAAGATGTAATGACTGCAACAGCGGCGGCAATTAAGCATGAGCAACTGCAAAATGTCTGGGGAAAATAATTTGCACTTCCGCACCCCGCCCACTTCACCTAGCCCCAATCCCTGGTTTGTGGCAGGAAGCCAGGAGCAGTTGGGACCCGACACGCGGGGCCAAGTCATACACTTAAAATTTTATATAATTTCGCACGTGAAACTTTTATTAACTTTTCACACTCACTACGAACACGCACGCAAATTAAGATAGGGGCCAAGAAGAAAAATCTGACAGTAGGATCCTGCACAGGAAGCCCACCAACTTAGTAGGACTTTTTACTCAGCTCAGTCATGATTCGGAAATCCAAGTGGCTTAACAAAAAAGCTAAAGCTTTATCTTTTTAAATTTTATAATTGGCACGTTCTTAAATCTTCCCGAAGTTTTGTTAAATTATTGGAGTAGGGGGTTCGTTTAAAAGGGTTCAATTCGGCTGTTCCTAATAAGCTTTTCAAATTTTTACAAAATATTTTTATATCAAATAAATTTTAAAGTCTTACAGCTCGAATTTCGTGTAAGGTACCTAAACCAAAAATATTAAATAAAAGGAGTGTATTGCCCATAAAAAAAAATGTATTTTAATTCTTTGTTTTGAATTTTGTTTTTACCAATCACTTAACCTTTTGTGGGTTTTAATTTGTTAGCTAGAAACATATTTTATAGATGGGTGACATGGATTATTCTGTTAATATACATTTCCCTTTGCTTATTAAATAATTCTTTATTTAGCTTTAATTATGTTTAGAGCATCGTTCAAGTAAATAATTTTACACAAGCCACTGAACCACCACATAAGCATTAAAAAGTGTTTAATGTATGGTGAATAGGAAGCTTGAGCACCCCCAAACTATTGGTTTTTGGGTCTACCTTAGTACCCAATTGCATTATGTAAAGTCTGTTAGGGGAAGTGGCTGCATGTGAGGCGGAAAACATGTGGCAACCAACTTCGGCTGAAGATGCCAGTAGCAACAACCGGCTTGCCTTGTCAAATCGTGCGCGTAAAAGTTTTAGCCATGAAAACTTTTCTGCCGCTACCTGAAGGAGACCTCCTTCTATTTTCAGATTAAATGCTCTTTCCCCGCTAGTGATACCGTGACTGAAATAGAAAAAGGAAGAGTTTATACCCTTTAAAAGAATAACCAACTCTCTTTTTTCCTAATCTCTGACATAGGAGATAACATAAAACATTATTTGGAGACTAGCTTGAAAAAGTTGAAATATACTTGGAAGACATAGTCAAATTATTTTCGAGGTATGACATTGTGAAGTTCTCTAACCTTCAAAATGCAGTCGCTGAAATACATAATTCCACTAAATCTGAAAAGCAAAACCAGTGAATTTCTTTAATAATAACTGTTGCAAAAGTTAAAAGTGAAAAACACACACATAAAAAAGTACTATTGAACATTTTTAAAAAACTTGGAGCTAGCAAAAAATTGGGTAAAATATTTCAAAATTTTATATTTGCTTCAACAAGAATATTAGAATATGTTCAAATACTTTTGATTGGCTAATTTTAAGGCCGTGATGAGTAAATGCACCATTGCCTTGGTCTAATATCGTCCACATTCCCTATAGAAAAACGCTGCGGCAGCAACCAAGTTGTCTGTCATGAGCTGCATGTTGCACACGTGTCAGGCGGCAACAAGGATCCTGGAAAGGTAGCTCCGTCCGGGACTTTTTACGTGACGCTGGTGGAGCGACTTGTCAAGAGCAGTCCCATCAGTTCCGCTTCCATCCCCCGAACCCCCTCCTCCATGCCCTCTTCCTCCTCCCAGGAGGCAAATTGAATTCGTTGCAATTGTTGCAACTCTGTGGCATTCGAAATGCGGACAGACAGCGGCTGGCACTGCCGCAGTTGGCGATTTGTTTGTGTGTCGTTTTGGTGCAGGCATCGCTTGATTTGCATTTCGCTCTGGAGCGCATTCCGACTTTCACTCTTCCGGCTCCATCAGCCGTTGAAAATCACGCTAATTGTCGCAGGCCCTGCCACACAGGGAAAAACACATTCCGTGATGAAAAACCAAACTGTTTTTGTGACCCGCTTTTACGGATTAAAGGCAGGCATGGATTTAATTTTGTGCAATTTTTATAGGTGGGAATTTACATAAAATAAGTAAATAAATCTACATACCAAATATGAAATTATTTAAAACGTAAAATGTGTACCTGACACTATCGACATTTTTGGGATAACCGATTTTAAAGGATGCTATTATATATTATCTCGATTAAAGCTACACAAATGCAATCGCCTTTTAATATTATTCCAATTATTATACTGCAAAAAAATCGTAAGTGGATACTATATACTATTCAATGCAAAGAGTGTGACCAATTTCACAATAAGGCAGATGATTAAATTTCTTTATTACCGTGTCTCTATTGAAAAAACTTTTCTCTGTGTGCATTAAGGCGCAATGCATCTGTTCGCTCAAAGGAACAACAATCTTTTAGATCTGTCCGCTGACATTTGCATTAATTGAAATGCGGAAAGTCAATGAGGCTTGTGAATACATAAGGAAGCCGCCAGAAACGGGTTTGTTAAATTTGCAATATACTTTAAAATGCGACATTCTAAGTTTGGACTCGCCCAACTTTAAGGACTGTTTAAGGCCAGCTGCCAAAAACCGGCCACAGGATCCTTGCTTTGTGATGCAAATCTGACAACTCTTTGTCAGCTACCCCCGCCCCCGCCTCCGCCACCCACCGACTTCTGAGTCCCTGCCAAAGCCAGTTTTAGTCCTGTTTGGTGACAAGCCACAAACACAAACAAAAGTCAATGCTCGCAGCTATTAGGCGAACAACAACACTGCCAGAATCAACACGGCCCCCGCCGGTCACTCTCCCTCCCCCCTGACCACAGAAGTGCAGCAAGTCCTGCCAAATGAAGGATGAACACAATGACAGTGTC